AAAAAAAGGCAGGTGTGGAGCTGGCACGCAAGCCAGCAATTCTCCTGGGTAGGTGCTCAGAGAGACTAAAAGCTGGGACTCAGACAGACATGCCTACAACTCCATTTACAGCAGCGCTAGCCTCACAATAGCAAGCATACAAAACTCAAGTGCCGGGGCCAGGAAGATAGCCGAGTAGCATAAGGGCTGGCCTTGCAAGTGCAAGGGTCTGACTTCAATCCCCAGTTCCACCAAAAAATAAAATAAAATAAAAAATAAAAAAACCTCAAGTGCCCATCAGAGGGTGAACGGCTAAGCAAAATGAGGCCTCTCTATATGCAATGGATATTATTCAACAATGCAAAGAGGGCTGGTGAGATGGCTCAGTGGTCTAAAGCACCTACTTGGAACAAGCTTGGCGAAGCACAGGGACCACGGTTCGATCCCCTAGCACCACATGCCAGCCACCCCAACCCCTGGTGGGCTGAGCTGGCCACACACACATAAATGGATAGATGGATAAATAAATAAATTAAAAAAAAAAAAAAACAATGCAAAGAAATACACCACCGACAGCAAGCCAAGTGAAAGAAGTCAGATAGAAACGGCTCATATCACATGATGCCACACACGGATTTGTCATGTCCAGAGGAGGCACATCGAACACACAGGAAAGAGCTTAGTGGTTGCCCCCAGCTGGGGTGGGAGAAGCCAAGAGTGACTGTTAACAGTCTGAGGTTTGCTTCAGGGCCAGCAAAAATGATGTAAAATTGATGGAGGGAATGGGTACACAAATTCAGTAAATACCCAGGTGTGATGGCACACATCTGTAATCCCAGTACTTGGGAGGCCGAGGCAGACGATCACTGGGAGTCTGAGGCCAGCTTGGGCTACATAGTTGAGTTGGGGGATAGCCTGAACTACACAGCAAGCCTCATCTCAAAACAAAAACAAAAAAACAAAGTAAAATTCAGTAAATATACTAACAACCACTGAACATTAAGTTGGTGGACTGCATTGATGTTAATTATCTCAATAAAGCTATAATTGTAAAGAGTTCTTTTTCTCCTTTAGGCAAGGCATGGAGCACACGCGTGCAATCCCAGCACTCTGGGCAGGGGAGACAGGAGATCACAAGTTCAGGCCCAGCATGGGCAACTTAGCACGCCCTTCTTTCAAAATAAAAAACGGGCCAAGGAAAGATCCTGAGACAGTTCCCAATGCTGGGGAAAAAAAAAAAAAAAAGGCTGGGTGTGGCTATGCAACCTAGAATGCCTGCACATGGAGGCTGAGGCGTGAGGAGCGCTGGGAGGTTAAGGCTGGCTTAAGATACACAGTGAGTGCAAGGACAGCCTAAACTATATAGTAAGACTTTGTCTCAAAATAGCCAAATAAAAAAAATCCTACTTTTGGGGCTGGAGAGATGGCTCAGTGGTCTAAAGCACCTACTTGGAACAAGCTTGGCAAAGCCCAGGGACCGCGGTTCGATCCCCCAGCACCACATGCCAGCCAGCCGCGCCCCCTGGTGGGCTGAGCTGGCCACACACACACACACACACACACACACACACTAAATGTTAAAATAAATAAATAAATAATTTTTTTAAAAAAATCCTACTTTTGAGAAACTGGTCAAGACAGCTCAGCGTTTTAAAAAGGACCCGCTTAGGCAAGCACATAGGGACCGTGGTTCGATGCCCAGCGCCACATGCAGCACCAGGCCCACTCCCAGGGTGGGTTGAGCCAGCTACAAAAAAAACCCAGAAATTGGTATGCAAGTATGGGAAAGAAGGAAGGACGGATGGACGGACAGACAGACGGACGGACTGGTCAACTCACCCTGGTTCTCGCGTAGCTGAGCATCTCCTGGGTAGTTTCGTAGGTTATCCACTGAGCCTCTAGGCAGTAATTCACCACAAACTCATCATCCTGTTTCACAGATGCCAGACTCGGTAAGGCAATCCAACACGGACCAACACAGCATAGCACTGCTGGTGTTACTCTCCTAAGTGGCGGGAACACGTACCTGGATTTTATGCAGATTTTCCTTTGCTTCCTCTACAAGGTGCTGCCAGCCGGTCTGCTCACTGGTGTCCGCAGAACTCAAAGCTAGTTTTTCCAGTATATCATTTGCTTTTACCTTGTACACAAGCTGTAATACAAACATGCCCATGAACTGATTTTCAGCATGGGAATAACTAAGGACGACCTAGTTTCAAGCAAGTTGTGTCACAAACAGTATGATGAAAAAAAAAATGAATCCTGGGCCCGCCAGATAGCTCAGCAAACTAAAGCGCCTGCTTAGGCAGAGTGCAGCAGCCGGGGTTTGATCCCCAGTGTGCAGTGCCCACCCCACCCCCTGGGGCACCCTGAGACAGCTACTGAGACTAGGCATGGTAGCACATGCTAATCCCAGCTCTTGGAAGGCTGTAAACAGGCAGATCACTACCAGTCTGATCTAGTAGTGAGACCCTGAACACCCTGCAGACCCTTCCCTAAAAAATACAAAAAAAAAAAAAAAAAAAAAATGTGATTCAGGACATGTGGTAGTGCATGCCCATAATCCCAGCACTTAGGCAGGAGGATTGCTGCAAGTTTAAGGCCACTCTGGGCTACAAAGTGAATTCAAGGTCAGCCTGTGGTACAAAGCAAGACCATCTCCAAAAACCACAAAAAAAAAAACAGAAAGAAAGAAAACAAAATAAGGCAATCATGCCAATACCCGCTGCCTTCTTCATGCATACACTATGTTCTTCTCCTGCCTAGCAGCGGCTATCATTCTGCTCGTAGTACTTTCTTTTCTCTGTCATCTTGGGACACACTTTCACTATGCAGTTCAGGATGCCTCGCGTTGCAGCAGTCCTTCTGATGCATCCTCCTCAGGGCTGGGATTGCAGGTGTGCACCACTGGGCCCGGCCCTGCTCTCAGCACTCCTCTGACGCCTTTACTCGCACACAGAATCATTCTAGATATACAAATGCTGTATTTTTAAAAACAGTGGGCTGGCCAAATAGCTCAGCAGATTAAAGTGCCTGCAAGCAGGCTCAGGGGTTCAATCCTGGGGCCGACTGTGCCCAGCCCGGGCTGGGGCAGCAACTGAGACTGGGCGTGGTGGCACCTGCCTGTGATCCCAGCTCTCGGGAGGCTATAAACAGGCAGATCACTACGAGTCCGATCTAGGAGTGAGACCCTGAACACCCTGGAGACCCTTCCCTAAAAACTACAAAATAAATAAATAAATAAAACAGCCACCACACGGCACCACCTACCTATTTGGTGTACATTAATCCTTTAATGAACTACAATCAAGCCTTCTTCCTTCCTCCGTGACCCCCTAATTAGTCAACCTCCAGCTCTGATACTTGGCCTTCTCTGTAGCATCTGCAGTTGGTGACCATTCCCTGCTGAGCTTACATGTCCCTCTCCGGGGCTTCTGCAGGGCGCACTCCTGTGGTGTCCTTCCGTGATTTCTTCCCACGTATGTGGGCCCTTCTCCTGTCCCTCACCTGCTGGTGCCTAGCGTCTCCCACTTGGATCTCCTTGCTTTCCACGCATTCGCATGCTCTGCCTTCTCCGGGCCCTGGGCCTCTCCTCAGGCCTCTCCACGCCCACTGTCAGCTCAGGTCACTCCCGGTTTCCTAGCAGACGCTGCTAGCTCACCACGCTCCTTAACCCAGCATTCATAAAGCAGAACTGTAGATCTCATTACTACACATTCCTCATTTTATTTTCATCTGTTTAGTCTGTTTTTGCTCTGGGGTATCAGGAATTGAACGCAGGACCCTGTGCTTGCCAGGCAGGCACTTGTGCCGCTGAGCTGCGCTCCCGGCCCACATTCCTCATCTGAGGCAACGCTGCCACCCCCCACTGTGTGCACTGGGCCAGCGCCCTGCCAGCCTGCTTCCAGTCTTCCATCGCTGCCTGTGCTTGAGCACTGCACCTCCTGACCCCACTGCGCACACATCTCCACCAGCCCCTCTCGCTCACCCGCCTCACAGCACTGCTCGATTCGGCTCTGCAGGGGAAGCTGCTTCAGCTCCTGGCTGGCATTTGAGCGTTTTGGTAGAGCCTTTTCCAGACAACTCTCCGTCTTTCCAAACTGTCCAGCCTGGACATTCTGAGGCTTAGTACTACTTCCCCATCCCTACAGGCTGAAGCCTTAATCGCCTGTGGTACACATGGCTCTGGCTCCTGTTTACTTCCTTTCACACCCTGGCAAGTAAAATCCGATTCTGACTAACTAGGAGTTCTGGAAGAATCTGAGACACCCCTACTCTGCCAGGTCTTTTTGTTTTTTGTTTTTTGCGGTACCCGGGATCGAACTCAGGACCTTGGCAAGCACTTACTCCACTGAGCTATCTCCCTGGCTCTGCCAGGTCTTAAAGCCTGCTCACACTAAATGCCAGTGGTCTAATGTCTGTTTCCGCAGCCTCAAGGACACCAAGAAATGCCTGCTTTAGGGAAAAGTGGACGCGTGCATACTTACCTCAACATCTAGTCCAAACTGAATGGCAAAGCTCTCAGCTTCTGCAAATCTATGTTTGTGAAGCAACCGGCTCAATCTGATAAATGGGAAAGAAATTTCATTAAATGTTCAGCAACCGGGGAATTCAAGCTTTTCATTAAGGGGTAAGAAGTACAAGAACACGAGAAAGTTACCTGTTTTCTGGTAAAGCTTCTGTGAGATACCTGAGCACTAACACGGAGATGGAGTCTTCAGAGAATCTGAAAAATAACTGCGTTGTAAGTGAACTTGTCATTTCACATTAACAGGGAAATTTTAACTGAGATAAAGCTGTATTTAGCAACTTATCAGATACTTTTTTTTTTTGTGCAGAACCAAGGATTGAACTCAGGCCCTCGCGCTTGCCAGGGAAGCGCTTATTCCACTGAGCCATCTCCCCGGCCCCCTTATCAGATACTTATCCCACAAAATAAAAGATGACCTACTTTGGATCACTTTTGTGAATTCCTTCCAGAAGGTAAATGGTATCCTACAAATGAAATAAAAATATTATTAAAGCTCAGAAATAAAATCAATTTGTTTTATAATTACCAGAGTACCAAATGGTTCAATGAATTCAATCAAAAAGTATTCATCGATGGATTTTAAAACCAATCCAAAAGGTCTTTGTGTGTGTGTGTGTGTGTGTGTGTGTGTGGCACCAGCGATTGAACTCAGGACTCTATGCTTGCCAGACAGGCACTTATTCTGAGCTATCTCCCCTGCACCCCCAGTGGTCAAATTTTGCACTTCACCCTCATCCCCAGAATTGGGATTGAACCCACCAAGTAATGATCTATATATAACCCTAGTCTTTTTTCCTTTGTTGCCCCAGCTGGCCTTGAACTCATTTCAGCCTCCTGAGGCTGGGATTATAGGTCTGTGCCACTGGGCTAGGCTCGATCAAATTAACATCATCAATA